TTTTTAAAAAAAAAACTTAATTCAGTCAATCATTTTGACCAAAATATATTTTAACCCGATTAAAATATATTTAACATAATAATTTTGTCTAAAATTATTTCAATAAAAAATATTGACCAAAATAAAAGAGCAACCAATTGGTGCCATAATTAATTCGATCAAATATTTTATTTGAATTATATTAATAATAAAATAGTAAGCATTTTGGTCATAAATTTTGACCAAATTAATTAAGTAATTTTGGTTTTAATTTAATTATGTTTTTTAGTCAAAATTTTTTACCAAGATAATTGTTTCGTTTAAAAAAAAATTGTATTAGTATGACACTTTCTTTCCCAAATCCTTTTTAATCTTCCATGAAATTATTTTGGTCAAGCGTCTTAACTGAAATAACTCTCCCTTTTTTCTTAATTTGTATTAATATAGGGTTTTCTTCCTTCTTCTTCTTCTGTTTGTTTTTGTTTTTGTTTTCTATAAAACTATTTCGGTCAAGCATATTAACCGAAATAATTGTCTCCTTTAAACAAAAAATTATTGTTTTGGCTTTAAGAATTAAGTGATATTTCTTGAATTTTTTGCCAAAATTATTTTGGTAAAAATTCTTGTTCGAAATTAATGTTTTGGCTCCACAAATCAAGTAAAACATTTTGAATTGTCAGCTAAAACTATTTCAATCAAATTTTTTTACCGAAATAATCTAAACCCTATAAAAACAGTTCAAGTACTTTGAATTGTATTTTACCCATTTCCTTCTTCCTTCTTTCTGCTTTTCCCTTCATTCCGTCTTCCACACTCATCTTTCTCATCTTTCTCTTCATTTTTATTACTTCCCTCCTCATTTCTCTTTACTTCCACCATTTTCTTTCATTTCTTCCTTTTTCTCATCTGCTCTTTTCTTCACTTTCCCTTTTCTTCTATTCATTCCCCTCATCCTCTCTTCCATTTTCTCACATTCTTTTTTCTTCATACATTCATTCCTTTAATTTCATCTCCTTTAATTTCTCTCATTTGCTTTCTTTCTTTAATTTTAACCTTATTAGTTTATTTCTTTTACAATTTACAAGTTTGTTTCAATTAATATTGATATCAATTTTATTTTTTGCAAGATTTTATAATAGAAACTAAAGGCATTTTAAGGAGCCATCTTATTTGGTTTTTTTTTTTATTTAATTAAAATTTTATAACTTTTTCTTTTTCATTAAGTTTCCCATTTAGTTTGTAATTTGTGATTAACTATTTCTTGATGTTAAGGGATGAAGAAACTAAGAAAAAGTTAGTAATTAACTCTCCACCATTTAGTTTAAATTTAAATTATTTTATAGAATTTTGATTTTGTTGTATAATATTCAATTTAAAATTTTGATATATTTGAATTTGGATAAAAATAAATAAATTTTTATATATTAATTAAATGTATTTTATAATTATATATAAAAAGCAATTATATGTATTTTATAATTACAAGAATATATACATTGAATTTGAAAATAATATTTCGGTCAAATTATTTGACCGAAATAATCTAAAATAAAATATTTTTTAGTAACATTTTATTTGACCAAAACAATTTAAAATAAAAGATTTTCTATTAACATTTTTGGTCAAATTTTTTGACTAAAATTGTTCAACATTTTCGATCAAGATGAAATTTTATCCGAATTATTATTTCGTACAATGGATATTTGGATTAACAATTCGATCAAGTAATTTGATCGAATTACTTTTTATTTGGTCAAGATTCCCTATTTCTAGTAGTGTCTGGTTGGCTATAACTTATAACTTCTTTTATCATGAAATTCAACCTGTGCATTATATAAATATATTTAGCTGTTGGGTTTATTCAGGATATTTGAGATCATGTATTCATTTTTAATTTCTTCAAGGATTGTGTTTGACCTTATACAAAATATTCCCTCTTGTTTTTCAACGGTTAAGAAATGTTTTTAAGTTAATTTTTACGTATCTTAAAATTAATATATATATTTTTAACAATCTCAAAAGGTAACACTTCATAAAATTTAACAAAATTTTCAACTCTTTGCTCAGTTGCATTTTTAAGCGAAAAGCGTAATGTTAGAACCCAGAAGTTAGAATCATTGAGTTGAGCCCAAAAGTCTATAGACTACGGGCCAATTCATATTTTCGGTTCGGGCCGGACGTCAGTTTAATCATAAAAGCCCATTACTCTTTTGTCACGCGAGGGTATAATCGTCAGATCATGGCAGGTTAGATTAGATTAGCGAAGACGCAACCTGTATATTTGTTTATAGTCTAAACTCCTCTACGGTAAGCTGCTGTCCAGTTCGTTAGAATTAAATGAAATATACTATTATTTTTTTAATACTAACTTCTTAATAATTGATAACAACATTAAATTTTGATTAATTTAAAATCGAATCATATCGGATTTTATTTGAGATAAATTCTCTCATTGTTTATTTTTTCATTCATAAGATCTAAATTCAAAATCTTATCTAAAAAATCTAGTACATGGTGACCCAATGACCACCTCTTGCGGGACGTGCTTAGGACTAAAGAACTTAGGATCAAATCTCAAGCCCCCTATCCTCCCTTTCCCCAAAAAAGATTTCACACTGTTAAAAAAAAAATCTTATTTAAAAGAATCAATAAATTTATGGTTGAAATTTAGTATTATTTTAATAACAAAACTAATACAATCAGAACAACTACTAATAAAAATCGAATTTCCAACAAAGTACACTAAGAAAAATCGAATGGACAACGAAGGAAAAAAAAAAAATTACAACGCAAAAGTGGGTTAACTAATTAAAAATGTGAGGTTTTATATTAAAATTTTTAAATTTAAATATTATTTTTTATTACATAATATATCTTCAAATATTAAAAAACTCATAAATTTAATTTAAAAAGTGTATTATTAAAAAGACTATATATTAAAAATATAATTGACTCTATAAATTTATTAAAATATTTTTAATAAAAATATTTTTTAAATTATATCATTAAGAATATTTTAATAAATTTATAA